AGGAGGCCGGCCGGGAGCGGGGCGCCGGCCGCCGGGCTGCTGGGCTCCCCGCCGCCCGCCCAGGCGCAGGCGGCGCGCAGGCGGCGGCGGGCGGCATGGAGAGCCTGCTGGAGAACCCGGTGCGCGCCGTGCTCTACCTCAAGGAGCTCACGGCCATCGTGCAAAACCAGCAGAGCCTCATCCACACCCAGCGCCAGCGCATCGACGAGCTGGAGCGGCGGCTGGACGAGCTCGGCGCCGAGAACCGCAGCCTGTGGGAGCGTCAGCGGCTGCTGCAAGCCCAGCCTCCGCCCGCGCCCCCCGCGTCGGCCCCGCAGCCGGGCCCCCGCGCCCAGGACCCGCTCCAGCACCACGGACAGCTCCCCGCGCCCGCGCCGCCGCCCCAGCACCACGGACAGCTCCCGGCGCAGCCCCAGCCGGGCCCGGGCGGCAGGGCTCAGGCGCCCCACCAGCACCCGGGCACGCGGGGGGCCGCCGGCGACAAGGAGAAGGAGCGCCCCCCGAGCTGCTGCGCGGCCGGAGCCCTCCTGCAGCACAAACCCCCCGCCGCCCTCGGCAAGGGCGTCCTGAGCAGGAGACCCGAGTGAGTGGGGACAGGAGGGGAAGGTCGTGGTGGAGGCGGGGAAGCCAGTGGGCGTGAGGCGGGGACGGGGACATGGAGCGCACGTAAGGGTCTGCAGGACTGGCGCAACGGGAGGTGAGGGGGTGAGAGGATGCTCGGGCGGCACTGTGTCGAGCAGATCTGGGGGAAAGCAGGGAACCGTATCGGCGTTGGAGAAGGCGTGGGGGTGCTGGAGCGAAGAGGGGGACCCAGGCCGTCACGGGGGGCAGAGGAGGAAGAAATGGGTCTTAGACGACTGGGGATATTGGGAACTGGCAGGGTTTACAGGAGGCTAGATTGGGAGGAAGTTGGGTGGAGATTAAACAGAAGGAAAAAGAAACATTGGAGGATTTTTTAAGCTAGAAAAAATTTGGAAGAGAGTTTGGAAAGTACAATTATTTGAATGGAGAGTGAGACATGAAAAAGACGGAGGCTTGGCAAAGAGGCACGTTGAGAGCTTTGAAAGGGCTGGAGTCCGGGAAGAGCAGGACTGGGGTAGGGTGAATGCAGGAGGCAGAGGATGCAGCTGCAGAGCGGGAGCGATGTGGAGGGCAGGGGGGCTGCACATAGAAGAAGGGAAGGGGTGGGAGAAAGAATTCCCCAGAGGGCTGAGCCGGCTCTCTGACTGGTGCAGTGGGAGCCAAAGCCAGGAGCGGCTCCCTGGGGAAGCCTCCTCTGCTCAGACCTGAGCGGGCACCTTTCTTCCGACTCCCCGCAGAGCCAAAGGGCCGCAAGGAACCCACCCTCAAACCGGTGGGGGACTCAGTTATAGCTCCTGGACTCAGTCTGCTTACAGCTTGTTCCTCGGACTCAGGGAGGATTTCTGTGCAGGGTGGTCGGCCGTGGTGGAAGGTGGACAGTGCTGAGGGGACAGTTGGCAAAGGGGGTTGGTATTTGGGTGTCACGCCTGCTGTGGCTCTCTGCTATGGCTAGTGACTCCAAGCCTTGTTTCCCCAGGTGACTGGGTGATAACTGGAATCGTGTGTTGGGTCTTGAGAGAAACGTTAGCCCCGCAGGACCGAGGGCCTCAAGCTCTCTCTTCACTCGAGAGGTCCATGAACTAGGACTATGGGAAGAAGGGATGAAAGTGGGCTGGAATATTCCATCCTTTGTGTTGGGAAGGCTGTGGCCGTGTCAGCTTCCTTTCCTGGATTAGACAGGTGATGAGAGAACTGAATGGAAGAACAGCTCAGGAGAAAGGAAATCAGTGCCCGGGCAGCACCAATCCCTGACGACGGTGACGCTGAAGGAGGCCAGGGAGCAAGAGGGGACAGGAGAGCCAGGAACGTCATCTTCACTCAGGCTCAAGTGTGCTTTAAATCCAGGGGACATTTGTGAAGGTTTGCTGTATTCCTTAAAAACTCACTTTCTGCTGTAGTTAGAGAAGTTGGGTCAGGGCGCGTTAGCTCGCAGGGCAGGTTGGACCAGAACCGTGAGATCTGAGGGGTGAAGACCTAGGATGATGATCTGGCTTGGCAGACCTAAGGCATTCGATTTAAACCCGAGAAGATGCGGTTTTCCACCCCAGCTCACTCCACGGCCCATCTTCCCTTTCCTCAGTTTCACAGTTTTCTTTCCTCGTCTCACATAAAAAGCAGAAAGTCCATTTTCCCTCAGTGCCCGTGGATCGGCAAAAGGCTTTGTGCTTCCCAGATAGCATGTGATCTTTTCTCAGATAGGGGTGAAGAGCTAGGCCGGTCCATTTCCCTGGGGGCGGCCACAGCTTCCGGTAATCACGATCCTTCACCTGCTTCCTCTGCTCACGGCTCTGGTGTCTGCCTTGTCCCCCACTGCACCCCCACTCCCTTTGTGTCTCTTCAGGGGACCGTGCAGGCACGAAGAGTTGAGGAAAGACCATTTTTCCTGGGCAAAGACCCTTCTCAGCCTAGAGAGCCCAAACCTTTCCACGCAGACGCTCCTGCCGGGGATGCAGGGGTTTAGGGATCGCCTGGATTCAGTACTAGAGAGGAGTCGTGACATGACGTCCTCATCTTTCCTTCTCGTCTGTCCTGCTCCTGCTTCCCAAGGGAGCACAACCAAAACAAGAAATAATTAGCATGGCGGAGAGCGGAAGTTGTTGGAAATCTTTCACTTAGGAAGTTGTCCCTGGCACTAAGGCCAACTCCTTCCTTTGTCCAGCTATTCCCCTGCTGCCCAAGCCTGGGGACGCAGAGACTCAGACACCACCGACGTACCTTCCTCACCTCCTCCCTGCAGCTCTCCTCCCTTGGCTGTGACGTCATGGCCATCTTGGCTGGCCGAATAACCTTCTGGATCACCCGTTTCTTTCCCCAAGGTTTTGCCCAACTTTAAGCCCAGTTAAAGAACCTCAGGAAGGAATCATGGTTGCTGACGCCATGTTTGGCCCCAGCCTGCTCTCTGCCCATGGCCCCCGCTTTGCATGTGTCTTCTCCTCTGCCCACACCTCTCTACGGCACAGGGCTAGATGGAGCCAGCAGGCAGGGAGAGACCTCCACAGGCAGGGTGAGGTGAGGAGGAGCAGCACAGAGCCAGCAGCCCTCTCCCTGGGGTTTCTCCTGGGGAGCTCCCTGCTGCATCGGTTTTCCACTGGGCCCGCTGAAGTAGGAGGAGGAGACGGCACAGAGGGTCTCCTGATCATGCTTGTGCTGTGAATCTTTTCTCGTTCCTGCTCTGGCCTCATTATGGTGAGAATGCAGCCTCGCTGAGGTGGTTGAAGGGTGGCGAGGGTTAGCAGGGGCCAGGCACTGGGTTAGATGCATTCTTTCAACACATGGTTTGCCTCGTACCCCAGAACTCCTTTTCCTGCCCAATTCCAGTAGAGGCAGAAGCCCTGGGGAACTTGGGACTGGGAAATAATGAATCGTTTCATTGCCATCTGCTCTACACTGATATGCACTCTGGCCTTTCAGCTGCAGGAGGGAGACATAAAGGCGGCGGCCGTGGAGGTCAGGTCAAAGAAGCAACGATATGCGGGTGGGTGGGTGCAGAGATATTGTGGAAGAAGAACACCCAAGGGGTTAAAATTCTTTCTCTGCATGCTTCCCGACTCTTGCTAAGCTCTGGCCCCCACTGCTTTTGCCTCTTAATGGAAGCAGAAAGCATAGCTTCCTCTTCTTTACTTTTTCAATCAAGGCTCACAGCGTCTACAGAATCGATTATTATTCCTTTCCTGGCTGGAGCCAGAACCTCGACTCGACCAGGCAAAGTCCCCTTGCCGTGGAAGCGCACGACCCTACCTGAAGCTGCTGGCTTCCGTGTGATCACAGTTTCTGTGAGCACATCTGCCCACCCGTCCAGCTGTGAGTCTGTGGATGGCAGGGCTTGCCCGTGTCTCCGAGTCCCCCGGCAGATGGTTGCTAGTGGCCAGGTTCTTGCATTGCAATTCAAATTCAGCTCCTACTCCAAGCTCGCCACCTCAGTGTAGCTATGAAGTCTGAACGGCTCAGAAGCTCCTGTCCTCTTCTCTCTTCCTTCCTCCCTTGTCTTCCTTTAACATCCTTCCTCTTCCTCACTACTTTCCTTCCTTCCCCTGCCCTCCTTCTTTTCTCTCCCTCACTTTCTCTCTCTCTTCTTTTTTCCGTCTATCCTTCCTCCACTTAGCCTACGCGCGAAGTCTCTTTGCTGTCTACCTTCATCCTTTAAGCGTGAAATAAATCTTGAGTCACCTTTTGAGCACTGTGGCCTCATATGCCTGGAGGCTGTGGAGGTGAGTTTAGCCTGAGCTGTCTAAGGTGCTGATTGGAGCAGGTGTCTCTGCTACTATTGGGTCAGGATTGTCTGCCTGAAGGTGGCAGCTCATGACTGGCCCATCCTAGAAGCTATTAAGACAGTGTGTAGTTCTACCAGTCAGTCAACTATATATAGTAAGTGTCCAGTCCACTCAAAACCCTGCACTGTGTGTGTGGAAAGATTGGGAAGAAGCAAATGGTCCTTGTTCAACTTACATGAGACCGTGCCTAGAGCATCTGAACACGTGCAAGCATGTTGCGGCTGCCTAGAGCTACCACGTTTCAGAGCAGGACAGGTAAAAAGGGTGAGCACACAAACCATGCTCAGAGCCAGAGAGAAGAAGGTTGACTTGGTTGAAGTCAAGGGTTTGTGTCAGAATAGGAAAAGCCAAGGACAGCTGGAAAGGGAACAGAGCCCAGAAGATTCAATCCACGGAGATATCTGCATTGCCTGTGCAGGTCGTCCCTCCTCGGTTGGTGCGTCCCCGACTCTAACCCCTCCCCACCAGGCCCAACACCGCCAGCAGGGCAGGGAGAGCCCCAGCACACAGGCCCTTGTCCACCTTGTGCCCAGAAGGCCTGGCTGCTAAGGAGGCTCCGCACGGCCAGTGTCCACCCATCCGCCTGTCCTCTTTCCATCCCCCTGCCCCGGCACAGAGAGAGCTTCTGGCTGACAAGCTGGACCGTGGGGCCGGAATGAAGGCTCACTGAGAAGAGGCAGTACGGGTCTGCGTGCACATACCTGGAAGCTGGCATGGAGTGGGCACTTGCAAAGACCCTGTCCCTGCCTTCCCCAGTGCCTAGACCACTGCTCTTCCCTGCTTTTCATCCAAAAAGGAGCAAAACTGAAGAGAAACCATCACCCTCTGGTGCCTGGGAAACCCTGATCGCCTCCCTCCTCCTCACCAGCCCTGTGCAGTGCTCCCCCCACTCCCCCCGCCTCACTCCCAGCCCCTCCCCAGACCCACACCGCTCACAGCACGGGCCTCACAAAGGCCTCCTGGCACGTGTTCCCACTGGCCCAAAACCAAGCAACAGGAGCAGCGGTGGGTTCTGCTGATTCAGCCGATATCTGCGCAGCCAGAGTTGCAAAGGTCACTTAGGGAAAAAGGCAGATGGAGTCAGGGTTGGGTGGAGAAGGAATGGGAGGGAAGGTGATTTGAAAAGGAGGGGGAGTGGGACAAACATCCGGGCCCACGATCTGGAAAGAGACCCAACTTCGGAATTTACATCCCAGGTGAAGATTTTTGGACAAACTGCCCTTCTTGGGGG